ATGTAATCATCATCAATCTGCATTAAAAGCTTATTTAATAATATAAGACATATTGTTATTTAATACCATGAGAATCATCAGGGAAGTCGTTCAGACCCTTTCTCAGTGTTTGTGAAAATAGGCTCCTAAAATACCTTTCTGATAAGATGAATATTCATGTTAAATTGTACTTTTCCAAAATGGTTTAATTGCTTTAACAAGAACTGTAGATTGATGAAAGATTACATCAATAATTCAGGTATTTTCTGTTGTTGGAAGGTAATATATAAAACGTAAATGTATTTGTGCTTACAGTTGTGTAGAACAAAAAGCTTGCAGGGAAAGTCGCATCTTTAATTTTGGAATGCAGCCTGTGTTTCAGACTTCTGTCACTTTGGCTTAGGCTGACATGATTCATTTTATATGCAGGAAACAGCCATTAGTTGATGGTGGTGTTAACATTTGCCCAATAAATGTTTTTCAAGTCACTACTCTGTGCATGGTCTGTGCATGGTATCGTATTAAAGAAAAAAGGATTACCAAAGCAAAGCCACATTGATGTTAGTTTGAGAATACCACGGTGAGATACTTTTTAACTGCTAAACATTGCCCGAAGGAAATATTTATAAGTGATATTTTACACTTAGGTTTATTGTCTTTTTTTATTTAGGTTTATATGAATTCAAGTTTGCCATATATTTATGTATTAACTGATGTTCCATGAACAGTTCTGTGTTGTTTTCCTGGGTCTGCTGTAACTAAATGCCACAAACTGAATGGCCAAAAACAGCAGTTGTTTCTTCTCTCACTGCACAACATCAGGGTGTCCCCAGGACCAGACTCTTGGCAATTCTGGCTAGAACCCTTCCTGCCCTCTTCCTCGCTTCTGGTGGTGGTCATCAGCCCTTGGCATTGCTTGGCTCGTGACAGTGTGATGCTGTCGTTGTGTCTGCTTCTTGTCTCAGTGTCTCTATGTCCATGTCTGTCTCTGTGTTTGTCTCTCTGTCTCTGTGACTGTGTCTCTGTGTCCTGCCTGCCTGCCTGCCTTCCTCCCTTCCTCCTTAGAAGGACACCGGTCATTTTGGGGTAAGGGCCCACTCCATTGCAGTTTAACATCACCTTAATTTATCACGTCTGTAACAAGGTCCCATTCTTAGTTATTGAGGTTAATTAGAACTTCAGTGTTTCTTTTGAGGGGCCAGGATTAAACCCACAGCAGACTTAAATACTGATAATGCAGGCCTTAGATGTTAGTAAACATTATTTAAACCTAATTTAAAAAGCTAGCATATCTTTATGACCAAGACTTTATATTATGTTTTGATTGTAAGATTTTGCATTATCATTATAGGAAATTTGGAAAAGCTGGGGGTGGGGGATAGAAAGTTGCTCATACAGCCAGCACCTATAGGGAGTCACTGCTGTGGAAAGGAGAAAGGACGAGTGTTCTCCTCCCCCATATTTTTGAACTACTACTAATTAATGTCTTTGTGCATTTATACCTGTGATTCCAATAGACTTAGGTGCATAGGATAACAAAGTAAAATAAAATGAATTGTTAGGGCCTTCTTTGAAAAAGATGTAGTGACTTTAATGGTTGGCTTTTAGTAGTAAATATAGATTGGTTTATTCCCCTCCCAACTCATGCACTGTTTTTCTTCCCTAGGTCTGGGTGAAATAAACTATATGCATGAACTTCTCACAAACATGGTTCACAGAAGGTATTTTTAAAATTATACAACTATATTTTTACTTTTGAACCATTGCATTGTTTCTGCCTTAAATAATTTTAATTATCAATGAATAGTTTTTATATCTCATGTGTATTTGTTCCTTTTGGATATTTTATTTTAGTAATTTCTTAGATTACAGGTCTATCCGCTCCATTCAAGTGTGACTTTAGAAGAACAGAATAATGTATTTTTGAGTCCAGTTCCTGGGTACAGAAAGGTGAGAAAGCTTGGAACACAAGTGCTAAGTGCTTTAGGTAAATTTTTTTAGAGACTCTCCTGATGAAAAGTGTGAGCATGTCAGCGTCTTTCTGCCGTGTGTTCTATAGCTGGTGAGTCATCACTTAGATGCTTGCTTGATGAGCCAGGTATGTTGTTATTTCCTCAGTTCAGAGATTTTGATGCCTTTGAGTTATTCTTTGACATGTCTCAAACTTGAGGATTATTCTAGGGTCTCTACTACCACTTCAGTGACTGGGGTAATCAGCTGTGTTCCCAGTCCTACTTCAGGAGGATTCTTTGATCTCAGGTCATGTATGGATGAGGAGTCATCTTAATATGACCCTTTTAGAGCAGTTTAAGATGCCTGGGGACCCTGAGCTTGTCTGCTCTCTTGAGTTCTGGGAGAATGTTCAGAGCTCTAGAGGCAGCCTAGACCTTGCAGGGTATTCTAGGGCAATTACAGATTATAGCCCTTCTTCTGAATGTTAACCTGGTCGTGCTTTTTTGCCTCTGGACAATTCTGGGACTGCCCCAGATTCCCCCACATCCGGGTCAGGAGCAGCCCTCTTTGCCCTGTGTCTTGCCCTGCTTGCTTTTAAGCACCTGCTGTGTTGTGTGTGGCTGGTTTTCTGTACTTCAGGGGCTTCGTGATCATTTGTGACCTGTATAAGATAGAAAAATGTTAATATCAAAATTTGAGTTCAGAATTTGCATTAAGAAGCACTTAAATAATTTTTGAAGTAAAGAATTGTTTTTAAACTTTGCTTAATGATGTCCAGAACATAGTAGGAATATCAGCCTCTTTTCCTTGATGTTTGATAGATCATTCTGTCCACCAACATTGCAGAGAGTTCTGTCACAGTTCCAGATGTCAAGTATGGTAAGATGCTTCCTGTTCACCTCCTGACATACACTGTACTGCTGCACTTACAGGCTTCTTGTTCCCCCTGTTCCTCCCCATCTCTTCCTGTTTTGGAGGAGACAGTCTAGAAAAGTAGATTCACATAGTTTCTCCCATCCTTTCAGTTCACCTCTTCTTCCTCTGAGCCATTTTGGGACATGTGGGTGCTTCAAGAGGCCTATGGGAAACACAGCTTTGGGCTGCCCAGGCAGAGCTCTGTGACTGGGAAGGGGGAGGGCAGGTGCTGGAGAAGGAGCCCAGGCTGCTTCTGTTCCCAAAGGCAGCTCAGAAGGGTACTGTGCCAACCCCGGAGCAAGCCAGGTGGTCGCCCTGCCTCTGTGTGCAAGGCCTGAGGTACTGTGAGAGCTGCTTTGCTAGCTAGCTCTGCACCTACTTGCTCATACTTGGGAGCCTGACATGTGTGCCAGACCCAGTCCTCAGTGTTGGGAGGGTGGTGGTGGAAGAGATACAGCCCCAGTCCTCATGTGATTGCTCTGTGGGAGAGATCAGTGATTGGCAGTAAAAACATATTTATAATTCAGGTGGAAAGAAATACTACATGGGAAAAGAAATCAGGGAATGGGTTTACAGTTATTGGAAAGTGGTCTTTCTGGTAGAGTAATGTGGGGATACCTCCTTGAGAAAGTGACATTTCAACAAAGACCACAATTGGTTGATTGGGCCATGCAAAAATGTGGTTCAGGCACAGGGAACAGGGTCGAGGAGCCATAGGACGACCAGCGTGGCTAGAGCAGTGACCAGGACAGGAGGTAGTTGGCAGGTGTTTTGTGTCTGTGCTGGGGAAATAGTAAGCAAAGCAGACTGAAGTTTTTGTCCCCATGACGCATTCTGGAGTGACTATTGGAAAGATAAGCAATAAATAAGGTAAAGAAAAAGGTGGCACCTGTGTCTCAGTGGGTAGGGTGTTGGCCCATATACCTAGTGTGGTGGATTCGAACCCGGCCCCAGCCAAACTGCAATAAAAAGCCAGGTGTCGTAGTGGGTGCCTGTAGTCCCAGCTACTCGGGAGGCTGAGACAAGAGAATTGCCTAAGCCCAAGAGCTGGAGGTTGCTATGAGCTGTGACACCACGGCGCTCTACCGAGGGTAACAAAGTAAGACTCTGTCTCAAAAAAAAAAAAATATAAGTCATACGTGATGGTGACTGTAAGAAAAAACAGGGGAGTGTGGGACAGGGAGTAGTAGGGAAGGCATTTGAAATTGTAGGTAGAGTGTCAGGGAAGCAGAGGGTGACATTAAAGTTGTGTCCTGGAGGAGCACGTCAAGTGTGGCAGTGGGTCCCGTAATAGCCAGACTGAAGACTGTCCACGATAAGAGCAGTTTTGGTGGGGGCTCAAGAAAGAGTGGGGGAGGTGATCCAGGCACCAGTGAGGCCACATGATGCTCTTGAGGTGCTGGGTCTTCTGCCGTAGGGGTCAGAGGGAAGCTGGAGTGGGGGACCTGCCAGCCATCTCTGTGGGTAAGAGAAGGGTGCAGGGGAGGGTGCCCACACCCTCATCACTGAGCGCCTGAGGACAGGGCAGGCCTACAAGGACAGTGGACAGACTCCAGCTGGTCGTCCTCCTGTGCCACTCTCTCAGCCACTTAGGGGGAGGTAGGAGAAACACAGTGACCTGGAGGACAGGGCCTCGAGCTTCGGCCTGCTTTTGCTTCCCCTCCTTAGCTTGTGAGCTGTGCAGCAGGTGCAGGGCTGCCTTAGCCAGGGCTGTGACTGAGGCAGACAGTAGAGCAGAGTGGGGGGGTGTCCCAGGGCTATGTGAGGGTTACTGCCCTGGTGGCTCATGCGCTTGAGGTCAGGTATCAGGAGGGCAGCAAGGCCAAGGAGAGGCAGGTGTGAGAAGGAGCTGGAGAATGTTCTTCTGAGCAAAGTATCACAAGAATGGAGGAAAAAATATCCAATGTACACACCCCTATTATGAAACTAATTTATACCTTTGTATGAAAGCTATAACCAAATAGCCTAAGAATATGGGGAGGGTGGAGGGAGAAGGGAGGGGAGAATGGGTGGAGGGAGGGGGATTGGAGGGATCACTTCTGAGGTTTATCTTACAGGGGTACAAGTGAATCTTTCTAAGAGTAGAAT